TGAAATTCCAATACAGATACCAAATTCATTTTTCAAAGAGATAAAAAGGGCAATTGATAAGCTTATTTGGAGAGGAAAAAGACCTTGAAATAAGCAAAGCAGTTCTGAAAAACAAGAATGACATGGGAGGCATAACACTCCTTGATCTCAAACTGTACTATTCAACAAAAACAAACTTACAAAAAAAAATGTACTATTCAGCTGTAATAACCAAAACAACATGGAACTGGTATAATGATAGGCACATAGACTAATGGGACATAATCGAGAAGTCAGAAATTAACTTAATTAACCTACCATACACGGTAACTTGTGGTTGCTGTGAGCCTGAACACTGTGACACTGATGTGTGTCAAATGTGTTAATGGCTGGTTACCCAATGCGGACAGAGAGTGGGGTGGAGCTCCCTGATTAAAACAAGCTTGGAAGGAGGAGTGGCATCCATTTCCATGATAGCTTGCCTCCAGAAAACCCAAAGAACCTGGTGAGAGAATGAGAGACACCCAAACGTTGAGGACTCTCCTTTCATAGGGTCGCTATGAGTCGCTTGACACTCGATAGCACTTAACAACAACAACATATATGGTCAACTGAAACAAAACCTAGCAAATGGAAAAACTACAATCTCTTCAACAAATGGTGGTTGAAAAACTGCTACCTGTAGAAAACTGAAGCAGGATCCAGACCTCTCACCATAAACAAAAATCAACTCAAGGTAGATCAGAGGCCTAGGAGTAAAGCCCCAAACCGTAAAGGTCATAAGAGACAAAGTGGAACTAAGTTTAGAAGGTCTTGCCTATAATATAAAGAGATTGCCAAATACAGCCAGAAATACACAACCAGGAGAGGATAAAACAGATGAATGAGACCATCAAAAGCTTTTTCCAACAAGGTAAAAAGAAAACCTACTCTCTGGGAAAAAAACTTTTGGCAATATCATCTCAGACAAGAGTCTTGTGAAAAACGTTTACAGAGACTACAAGGCCTTCACAGGAAAAAATATCAATAACCCAATTACAAAATGGACAAAAGACACGGAAAGACTTCATAGAGGAAGATGAAGAAATGCTCAAAGTCACAGGCAATGAGAGAAATGCAAATCAACACCACAATGAGATATCATCTTACCCCAGTAGCAGTGACAAAGTTTAATAGGACAGCAAGGAATAAATGTTGGAGATGATGTGAAGAGATGAAACTCTCATACCCTGTTTGTGGGATTGTAAAACAGTACAATCACTCTGGAAGACAGTTTGGCATTTCCTCAAAAAGCTGGACATAAAAATGCCATATGATCCACCTATTCCAGTGCTAGGAATATAACCCAAGAATATTAGAATTGAGACACAAATAGAGATTTGTATGCCAATGTCCATAGCAGCGTTATTCACAATCGCAACATGGAAACAGTTCAAATGTCCAACCACAATCGAATGGCTTGAGAAATTGTGGTACGTTCACATGATGGAATACTATGCCGCACTCGGGAGCAACACTTTCAGAAATTACTCCATAACTTGGGAGAGACTGCAAAGCATTGTTCTGAATGAACTAACTCTGTCTCATAACGATAAATACTGTATAAGACCATTACAGATAACCAGTAAAACATGGATGAGGATCCAAGGGGTGTGGAGAGGAGGATCAGGAGAATGAGGATGGGCAGGGGCGGTAATCATAGCATCACACAATTTGGTAGGTGGAGGGAGGGGCCGTAAAAGAAACTGGATCCAGTGGGGATCTGGAAAAACAGAGTAATGGTGAGCATAGTGCAATGGTGATTCATTTTATAAAAAATAATGAATAGAAATGATTGTATGATGTACAATGTGAGTGAAGGATAGTGTGAAACACAACATATATGAACTTTGCAAGCAAACAAATATAAAAGAGGGGGGAAACCCCAACAGGTTGTTGTTGAGTCTTCATCTGATCCTGATGCCATACTCTTCTTCACAAAGTCCGGCTTCTGGAATGATTGCTCAGCATACCTTCTGGTAACTTTCCTCTGAGAGCAATAGGCGCACCTCACCTATTAAATGTCATATCAGCTAGGTGTTCCTTACCAAGTTCTCAGAGTCGTGATGTACCAATCTCAGACGGCAACAAGTTTTTCTGCTCAAATGTCCTTTCTTCCATGTTCCTCCCAGAAATAACCAAAATCTTGGCACATTTCTCCTCCTTCATGAGGTTCTGAGACATTGGCCAAATGCTAAGCTTCTGAAATTTTGTTCCTAACTCACCAAATTTGAGCACTGTCTAGTATTCAGTGATTAGTGGGAGGAAAGAGGAAATCCAGCCAGAAGCTGAAAAACAAAAACCTCCCCCACCTTTCTGGGAAATGGAAGCTCAGTACAAAATTATCAACTATTTATATATTTCTGGAGTTTCAGGAGGAAACTTTGACATGTTTGATGTCACTATTAATACCTGACAGCATTTGTCAAAATTCTTTGGTCTCATTTGCTGGGTGTGTGCAATGTGATGCTGATAATCTAAGTTTAGGAGAAAAAAATTTACATACAGAAAGAAAAGTTTAAATTTCCATCCAGCTGAAGATAAACCTTATTAATACGGGAAGACTTTAAGGTGAGCACAACAGATTTTATTAAAATATCCACTTGTGTTTCTGAAGGTCAACAATTGATGGAGAACAGAAAGACAACAGTTGATGGAGAACAGAAGCAGTCACAGGTCACTTGTGAACATTTCATTTATTTGGTTGCTTTTAGATATTAAAATATTGGAAGACCAAGCATTACAGAAGCTATCTTGGCTTCCTCTTTCCAAGATACTCTTGGCCACTGAATTGATGTTCTTGTAGAAGACATCTGCTTGTAGGTGATGACTGAGAAATAGAATCAGAAGATTGCATAAATCTTCTGCCCCCAATTCCGTACTCTGCCAGCCATTACTAGTACATGTGGGTGTAAATTTGGCAGCAGTTCCAAATTTCATAAAAGCAGTGATGAAGTTCAGTTAAAAATGGCAACTTGAGAATATACATCCCCCCCAATCCCTTGTCAAGTTGATACTGATTCATTATGACACCATGTGTTTGAGAGTGGAACTGCACTCCATAGAGTTTTTAATCACTGGGATCTTTCGGAAATGGATTGCCAGACCTCACTTCCAAGCTATCACATGGTGAGCCAACTAGTAACCACCTTTATTTCTTACATATGGACCCTGATGGGGCAGAGGCTAAACACTCAGCTGCTAATGAAAAAGTCAGTGTTTTGGAGGAATACTATCCAGCACGCAGGAGAAATAATTCTGCAAATCACTACCTAACTTGGGAGGGACTGGAGAACACTATGCTGAGTGAACTAACTCAATCCATAAAGATAAATGCTTGTAGAATGTGTATGAGGATCCAAGGGGCAGGGGGAGTAGAGGAGTGAAGATGGACAGGGTGGGAGGCCGGAGGGGTGGTGGTTATTCATAGGGTTGCACGATTTGATGGATGGAGAGAGAGGTGGGTAAAGAAAATAAGATCCAATGTGAAAAACAATGTATATGAAGTTTGTAAGTAAACTAATACAAAATGGAAATTTTATTTAAAAAAAAAAAAAGTCAGTGGTTTGAGCCAGCTGTTCCATGGGATAAAGATGTGGCAGGCAGTCTGCTTTCATTAAGATTTATAAAATTCTATGTAGGATCCCTACTCCAGCCTATGTTGTTGTTTTGTGTGTCAAGTTAGAACCAACCCACGGCTAATCCTCCAGCAGGTTTGCAGAGCCAGTAAATCTAACAGGAGGAGGTTTCCCATGCTTCTCCCACAGAGCAGTTGGTGAATTCAACTGCTTGTCTTTGAGACTGCAGACTGGAGATAGAATGAGAGAATTTTGTACCATCAATAATTTATTCATTGCAAATACCTTTTATAAGAAATCCAGATGATTATACACATGGACTTCATCTGATGGTCTACACAGGAATCAGATTTATTACATCTGTGGAAAGCACTGTTGGAGAAGCTCAATATCAGCTGTGAAAACTAGGCCGGGTACTAATTGTGGAACAGACCACCAACTACTCATATGTAAGTACAAACTGAAGGTAAAGAAAAATGAAGTAAAATCCACAAGAACAAAAATTTAACCTTGGGTCTACCTCACCTGAATTTAAAAACCATCTCTGGGGTCAGTCGTTCATTGCCGAGCAGTGCTCCCTGAGTCCAGAATCCAGGTGTTGTTCCAGAACAGGGGTGTCAAGTCCAGGTGCCAGAGTGGGAAATCCTGCCATCCCCTGCTAGGTCCGAGCTCTTCCTGAGCCACTCTGCTCCTGGAACGAGGTGAGGTGAAGTGTTTGAAGCCCCAGATGTCATAGAGGGAGATATGAACTGTCTGCCCGACCTCAGCAGGGATGGAGAGGGCCTCTTGACCCCAGTCCCCAGACCCGAGCTTTTAATGCTATCCACAATCCCTGAAGATTCCAAGCTGGGCTCGGTCTAAACTCAGAAGAGCCACAGCTAACAGGCCGGATGCTGTCCTTTCTGGAGTCGTTGTTAAGGACATTTTCATGTTTAACTTGACAGTGGTATTTGACGGTGGAAATCTCGCCTTTGAGGGTTCCTCCCCTCCTGCTACTTCTTCCCCCTTGTCTTGCTTTGCAGCACTCCCCTCCCGAGTTCTGATCATTACCTTTACCTCTTTGTCTCACTGCCCTTTCTTCCCAGCCTTATTCTTCTTTTTGGGGTGTTCGGAACTCTTTTTCACAGAGACCCCTCCACTTAATTCCGTTTTCCCTTTGTTGTTCCCACCTACCATGTTCCCACTGAGGCTTATCCTGTCTCCTTCAACCCACTCTCCCCCTTAAATTCATTCTTCCTCATCCTAACACCATGATTACTTAGAAAAGCATTCAGCCTATCATCTTTACACTTAACTGTTGCTCTAATGACTCTTTTTGCAGATTATTTCAAGAGTCAGGGGGCTTGAACATGTGGGGAGAGGGTGAGGTTGGTACAGAGCGCGGCGCGGGTTCTGATCAGTTGCTCCTGGGGTTACGGTGCCTCAGAGTTGATGTGGTAGTACCTAAGCTGATCCTACATTCTCAGCTATTCTTTTAAATTACTACCTCTAAATCTAGTAGCCCTTCCAGTTGTCATCAGATTTTAAAAACTCTTGTCATCCTTCCAACTGATATCATCTTTAGCTTCTAGGACAGCCGTATACTTTTTTTTATCACTCTCCCAATTCAAAATTTGTCTCTCCTTTCTGTTTTGGAACTGAATTACAATCTATCTTTTGACACACTTAACAGCCCTTTTTTTTCTGAAGACAAAACTTTGTGTAACATGCTCTGGGCACTTGTTACGGTTCTCCTGGGGAGCGTTAGTGGATTTTTTAGTGTTTTTCATAAATGCAATGGAATTGAAGATGTCATTCTATTTAAGTGAATCCTATCCTTTAGATATCATTTGTTGTTGTTGTTGATTGTCTCAAGTTGAGCACGACTCATAGTGATGCTATGAACAAAAGGCCTGAAGCCTTTCTATAAGTATCGTCGTTTATCCAAGTTCATAGAGTTTCTATAGGCATGTTATTTAGGAAACGTCGTACAGTGCTTTTCCACCACTAGAGTTCAGTTGAGTCGCTAACTAGAGTGCTGGTGGTTTGAATCCACCCACCTCTTCTCCAAAGATGATGGGGATGGTGTGTGCAAAGATTTGCAGCCTCGGAAACACTGGAAGAGGCAGCTCTGCTCCATCCCAGAGTCAGCATGGCAAGGAGTTGGGATTGCTTCAAATTGTTCAGTACCTATCATATGGTCCCAAAAAACACTTTGAAAGTGTTTCTGCAAATACAGTATATTTACAAAACAATAAATCTATCAACTCCCCGATTAAAACAAGCTTGGAAGGAGGAGTGGCATCCACTTCCGTAATAGCTTGCCTCCGGAAACCCTATGAACCTGGAGAGAGGATGAAAGACATCTAAGCATTGAGGACTCTCCTTCATAGGGTCGCTATGAGTTGCCAGCAACTCGACAGCACTTAACAACAACAACAAATCTATCAGCAG